TCTCCCTCTAGTGGTGACACGTGGAATCAAATGCAGGCGCGACCTGCTATCCTTGCGAACCATCTGGCTCACTGGATACAAAGGTAGATGTTTTGATTATTTTTCCTAGTAAAGGAGTTGGATTTTTGTTGCTCTCTCTGTGCCCTCACACAGTTCTTGTAGAGACTGCTTGTCTGGAAACCCAGCACAGAGAGAAGCTGATGGGACCCTCACAAAAAGGGCACCCCTCACCCTGCCCCCCTGCCAGCACCAGGCCCTGCCTGAGTTCCAGGCCTGGACCTCCACGTGGAGACCCATCACAGGCCAAGAATTTAGGTTCCGGTGGCTCCTCTGTATAAAACACATCTCAGTGGGTCTCCCGCAATCACTTTCCCCTTTTTAAAAAAAAAAGTCTTTACTGAGACACAGTTCACACACTACACAGTTCACCTTATTTAGAGTGTAGAGCTCAGCTGTTCAGTGTATTCAGAGTTGTGCAGCTACCACCAGTCAATTTTAGACCATTTCCATCACCCCAGAAACATTGCCATCACCTGCACCCTTCAGCAATCACCCCTGTACCCCCTCACTCCAGCCCCCGCAACCTCTAACCTCCTATCTGTGGATTTGCGTGCTCTGGGCATCTCGTACGAACGGAGTCGGACAGCCTGCCCCTCTGGGTCTGGCCTCTTTCTCTCGGCGTGCTGCTTTTCTGAGATTTGCCCAATGTTGTAGCATTCATTGGTTACGTCATCTCTTTTCATGGCCAAGTTAACATGCCGTTGTGTGGGCGCATCACACTCACCTATTCACCTACTGGTGGGTCAGTGGTTCTTTAAAAAAAAGCCGGAGCTGGCGCTAAGTTTCGTGAGCAGTTTGGGGGTGGCTGCTGGCTGGCTGCACGCTGTTAGCGGCCAAGGTCTCCTTGAGAGAGGCAGGCAGCTCAGCGGCCAGGAAGGAAGGACACGCAGAGCAAGAGGTTCTGGTTTAAGGCGGAGGAGGCGACGGTGACGACAGAGCAGGGAGCCTCTCCTGGGCCCAGGTGCCCTCTTCCTCAGCAGGCCGGGCCTCCTGCTGCCCGGCCACTGGGAGTTGGGAGGGGCCCCTAGGTGCACGTCACCCGCTCAGCAGGCAGAGCGGGTCCCTGGCCACCGCCCACTCTGTGAGGCCCCAGGGGCTTCTGCTGTAACAGGACCCAGAGGGAAGGTCTGGCTGCTGTCCCCCCCCCTCCACCCTCTGCCTTTCCCTCTCACCCGAGCTCCTGCTCCCAGGTTTGCCAAGTACTACAGTGACCCGACTGGCACCGAGCACCGCACACTCATCAAGGCCTACGGCATCCGCTTCGACATCATCGTGTTCGGAAAGGTAGCCCGGCCGCCAGCTCCCCATGCGGACCCCGCTAGGCCTCTTCGGGGTCGGCCGGGGGCGAGGGACCCTCTCCCCATCCTCCACCTGCCCGCACCCACCCCTGTTGCAGCTCTTTCTTTCTTCTCCCCTGTGTCATTTGCAGGCTGGGAAGTTTGACATCATCCCAACCATGATCAACGTTGGCTCCGGCCTGGCGCTCTTAGGGGTGGTGAGTGACGCGGTCCTCTCTGTTGGCCCCCAGGGCAGGGGCCTCCTCGGTAGCCAGCACAGCCTGCGAGCCCCTCAGCCCTCTGGGCTTGTTCCCCCCCCCATCCCCACCTCCCCCTTCCCTTCCCCCCTGGGACCGAGCCCCGTGGGGCCCTGCCTTCTCTAGACAGATGGAGACTTCCTCCTCCTCGCAAGATCCCAGACCCAGAAACACAGGGACTAACGCACCCCGGCTTGTTCTTTCAGGCGACAGTGCTGTGTGACATCATAGTCCTCTACTGCATGAAGAAAAGGTACTACTACCGGGAGAAGAAATACAAATACGTGGAAGACTACGAGCAGGTGGGCCACCCCTCCCCCGCCCCGAACGCAGCGGGCAGGGAGGGCTGGGCACCGCCTTTCACCTGCTGCCTCCTGTACCCGTTGCGGGGACGGCCCGGGGCGCTGGGCCCGGGGAGGGCCCTAGCACCACGGCTGCCGCTGTTTCGGTGCGTCGTCAGCCCGGGCAGTCCCACGCCACTCTCCTCACCGGCTCCCTTTCTAAACCATCTGAACTGGTACTCACTTTAGACGGACTCCCTCTTTAAAACCTAGCCTTGTTTGAACTAGTGATCTCTCCGGTTAGTTACGATAATGGACGTTAGGACAGGATCAGTGCCCACACTCGACTCAGATTCAACTTGCAGAGCCAAAGGGGCTGGGCACCGTGCTCTGAGACGCCCCACCCCGCCCCAGGGGCTGGGTGGCACGGTTGTGAGGGCTGTCCCAAGGCCTCGGGAAAAGCGCCGGACTCCGGCCACCCCGAATGCCCCAGGCCCGCCGCCGCCGGGCAGTGCGGTGTGAGTGCGTTTCTCCGTGGACATACCAAGTACAGACACGTGCATTGTTCCTTCCAGGGCATCGACAGCGAGATGGACCGGTGATGCCGGCCCTCACGGGGCTCCCCACGGCCCTCACGGGGCTCCCCACGGCCCTCACCGAAGCGGAGAGCACAGCGCAGGGAGAAGAGGCTGCCGCGGCACCCCGAGCGCGTCCCCGATTCCGAGTCCGCCCCCACTCCACACGCACTCCGAGGCTGCCCAGCTGCTCCCGCGTCAAGGTGTTGGACGTGCATCGTGAACCTCCCTGCCCTTGGCTGCGCCACCTCTGCTGTCCCTTCAGCTTGCAGCCCTGCGGGCGGGCTGGGGCCCAAGGACAGTGGTGCCGCCGGGGCGGCGGGGCCGGGGCCTTCTCCAGGGCCGGCCTTTCTCCGCGGCCGCCGCCCTCTGCGGCCCGGGCACGGCAGGCCCCGCAGCTCTCTGCGGCGCCCGGGGGCACCTGGGTGCCTGTGGCTCGCCTGGGCTGCCGCTGCCCACCCACCAGACTCTGCCCACGCAGTCACGAGGCAGAGCTCACGTGTCTCTTTTGAGACGAGGTGTGTGGAGACGGATGATCAAGGACCACACATTAAAGCAGAGGGTTTTCCTAATCTCTGTCTTCGTGGTTTCATAGCAGGAGCGAGAATGCGCCTTCCCTCCCTAGCAAATCCCTCTGTCGACTCCTCGTGCTGCCAAAAGGTTCCCGAGACAAGTCTGTCGCTGGATCTTTTCCCTGCTTTACCCTTCTCTAAAGGCCCAAGAATTCTGATCTCGGTTAGGTGGTATTATTATAGTTTACAAGATTTCTTTTCATTTTAAAGATTTTTATTGAGGGGAAGGACAAAGGGCGAGAAACATCAATGTGCGGTTGCCTCTTGCACACCCCCTCCTGGAGACCTGGCCCGCAACCCAGGCCTGTGCCCTGACTGGGAATCAAACTGGTGACCCTTTGATTCACAGGCTGGCTCTCAATCCACTGAGCCACACCAGCCAGGGCTGCTCGATTTCTCTTCTGTAGCGATGACGTGCCTGACCTGGGCTTACGTGTTACTTAAAATGATGGTGCTCCACGCACCAGCGAACACAGTGCAAACGGCCTGTCCTCCCCTCTCCCACTTTGCTTTCCAGAAGTCTCCAACCAGAAGCAGCACCACCTCCACCTACCTTGCCACCGGTTTGGAATGTTAATGAAGCTATTTCTAGCTTCACCTTCACACCTCCTCGATTCTGCATCCCGTGTTCAGGAGCTCCCTAAAGAAAGCAGCTTGCCCTCCCCCTTGTCACGAATTCCCGTCCAAGTACCGAAGGAACAGTTTATTTTAAAGTGCTCGGCTTCTGTCGGATAAATGACCAATCTGGGCTTTTCTTGCTTTGGGGGCGGGGTGGGGGGAAGCCTTACCGAATCCCCCTGGAAAAGCTCTGGGTTATGCGGCTTTTGAAAGACGCCCACCTGAACCCGCAGCTCAAATGGAGCTGGAATTTTCCGGAAGGGCTCTTCCCCTGCAGACTGAGGCGTGATGCTTACTGGCGTGGAGGAGACTCCTTCCAGTGTCCCCTTTGCTAACACAGAAGGCTGGTCTGGCTGGGGGTGGGCGCTGCCGCAGCATTGGTTGCTCCTTTTACCCCCCAGAGTCACCGTGCGTTCAGCTACACCCCCGCTTGTTGGCGCTGCCTCTTAAGTACAGACCCTCGTACCCAGCGGTGGGCTTCTGGGAGTCTCTGGAACCCCTAGCACTTTGCAAAGTGGTGCACCCGTGAGCATTCCTGTGGCCTTCGCTGGATTCTCAGTGGGGTCTTTCGTAGCAACACCTGCACTCGGCCCCGGGAGGCCAGCACTGCAGTGCTGTGTCCCTGCAGCGTCGGAACAGGGGTCTTGCAGACTCCACCTACTCTCCTTTGACAACAGAAGCCCGAGGGGCAAAGCCAGTCCGGCAAGGCCACGGGCCAGCTCCCCAGTGAAATGCAGGGAGCCCTCAGCCGCCCGCCCAGAGAAACGGTCTGTTCTGCAACCGTCTCTGGCCAGCCGGCCGGCGAACCAGATGCCAGCGAACCGGATGCTATTGACGTGCTGGGAGACTCCGCCTCCGCCAACAAACTCGGACAAGCCCTGCACCACTGACCCGACGTTTCTGAGCCCGGTCCAGGCGATGGTCCCTAACATGGGGTTAATGCCCGCCTGGTGGCATGCTGACCCACAGACACACTGTCCAGTGCCTGGTTAGAAGCAGCGGCTTACCTGTTCGGTGTCCACCAGAAGAACCACCAGATGAACTGCCTGCTGCAGCTGTGCTGCCCAAACGTCGGCCCGCAGAGGAGCCCCCCGGGGGGCCTGAGGGAGGGAGGCCTGGGGACCCGCACCGCTCCTGGGTGCTGCGGGTGCTGCGGGTGCAGCCGGTGGGGCGCCACACCTGGACGGAGACCCTGGGGCGTGCTTGAATTAGGGAAGAAGGGTGGAATAATGCTGCCTGCATGCGCCCCGACCAGGGCCTCTGACCTCACCGGCCACCCACGGAAGGAAAACCGACGTAAGGGACGGGCGTCCCAGAGAGCGCTGACTTGACAGAGAGAAGAGTCCCCAGGAGGCCTGGCTTTGCACCATTTGGCTGTCTGTTTATTTCAAGTTTACAGAGAAGCTCAAAACATCTGTGGAAAAACACCAAAGGCTTACTTTTCTCTGCAGTTCATGTCTCTGTAAGTGGTAAATACACAGTATTTAACTTGGTACACCTGATCAGAGGGCAATGCATAGAAAGGACCGGGGGTGAAACAGAAGCATCGGGCGGGGCGTCGGTCACAGGTTGGAGAAGTCAGCAGTCCCACGAGACTCGGCCCGTAAAGCTGGAGAAGATGGGGATCGGCCATCTCGAAACCTTCCCTAGCACCTGAGAAGCAAGTGGAGGTCGTGGTTCTCCCCACCGGCAGCGTGAAGCTCCCCTTCGGAAGATGGCTGAGAGAGAGCAGCACGTGGGTCCAGCCTGGGCGTCTGAGTGTGCAGGGATGCGCCCCCTTGCTCCAGAAAGGCTGTGAGGGCGGGAGCCCCGGCTCACGGGGAAAGGCTAGACCACGGGGGAAACGGCCCCCCCGCCCCCTGGCGCCCACAAGGGGCCGGAGAAGGCTTCACGGGGGCCGCCCGTGAGCCAGCGGACTAGGTGGGGGACGTGGCACAGGGCAGAGGAAAAGATGGGGAGAGAGACTTGTGCTTCCTTCAAGGCCACGGGTGCAGGCCACAGGGCGCTTCCAGCAGACTGGCCCCGCAGGTGCGCCAGCAGTGGGAGAGACGGGCGGGCGTCCTCCTGGCCACCCCCCCGGACAGAGCTGCTCCTGGCAGCTGCCCCCCGCCTCTCCTGATGGAGCTGGCTTTTGGACCACCGACGCGTGGGGTCCGAGAGGGTGGTGGTACACTTTATGTAACAGCCCTCTCCGCTTAGACTTTTTTGGGGGTGGCGGTTCCTTTCCACAGCTTTCTTTGGTGTTCCTTTGTAAAAAAAAAAAAAAAATGATGACCTGGGCCGCCCCCAACCCACCTGCCTAAGCAGCTGGGTGCTGCCCCATGGCCGGCATGCCACACGTGAAACCGTCCCCGGAGGGTGTTGTCGGGGGGCAGAGGGCACTGCCCCATGCGGCTCTGTAAACACAGGAGTTCTGCAGAAGCGCCGCGTGCGGCCCGCCCTCCCCGGACTCCACGCAGACGGGCCTGGACGGGGACCGGGGACCCGCTGACTCGAACCACCACCGGGCGGTGCTTACTGCAAACGAACCAGGCCCCCTCTGCTCCCGGAAGGGGTGGGGCCCATACATGTCAACAAGCGTAGGAGGGCAAGAGGAAGTTCTAGGCTACAGACAGAAAGAGAAAGAAAGCAGGCGAGAATACCCTCCTCCATCAGACGGGTATTCTTTGCTCTTGCAAACCAGCAGTCCCTAATTCTGCACGGCTAAAAGACGGCAAGAAAACTCTGGCTGACCGACAGTTAAAGAGTTCACAGTCGAGATCTGTGGAAGCCAAGGACGCCCGGGCCCAGTGGACGCGCTGGGCAGAGGGCACAGGTCCTTGCTTCTCCATCTCTGCAAAACGTCCTCGTACCGAGGCTGATCAGACAGTAGTCACAGGAAAGCAGGCCTTTCTGAACCCCAGTACTGTCTCCCCAGGCCAGGTTCCACAAAGCAGAGGGAATCTCCCAAGACAAAGTCCTCCCAGTTTTCCTACCCCTCGCACGTCAGACGCACCCACACGGGGGTCTGGAAGAAGTCGTACCTGAACTGCAGCCAGACTTCCCAATAGTAGATGGAAGTCAAGAAAGGTAAACCTTTTCTTTCTGGACTTTTGGCTACACAATGGAACGCCCTGCGCCAGGCCCTGGTCCCCTAGGACCCTGAGGAGCGCTCTGGGTTGCAACAGCCTCCTCTCTAAAAGGGTCCCGGAAGTTCTCGGGTCGACCCTAATAGAGCTTTGCTGGTACGGATGACCGTCTGTCTGTGTCTCCGTCGAATGAACGTATCTCCCAGCTGGCCCCCCAGCAACCAGTTTACCCTCCAGGGTAACTGTTTCACTAACGGCAACACTCAGCTAGTGTTTCAGGAGAGGACGAAACGGTAGCAGTCTCCAGAAGACACAGGTGATGAACCAGCTGAGCTGCTAATACACAAGCGCACGTTTCACGGGCTCTAACGCCTGCCTGGAGCGGTGGGCTAGATCCTGGAAGCTCGAAATGATTTCCGAACTCCTCCGGAGTTCAGACTAGTTGGAGAATTGAACCTTTTTGCTTCTTTGTTCACTCTTAAGCCATGTAATATACATGGAAGTACAGGATTTCACCCTGATGGTTTTTTTTGTCATTTCCCAAGAGATTTACTGAGAGGGCTCCGTCAACTCCTTGAGAACTCCGCTTTAAGTGTCTGGCATAAAGACACGCACTCGCGTCCTTGAAGCGCAACTTCTCCCACCATGACCTTTGCAGAGCAGTTTAAACACCAAGCCCTTTGTTTCTCCGACAACTCGAGGCATAGAAACGACGCTCCAGTCCTTCTTGCAAACACGTTGCCTCGAAGCTCCCTGCAGCTACCACCGAGGGCGAGCGCTGCCTCCACTCGTGAGTCCGCGGTCCTGGAGGGCGGCACCGTGTCAGGCGTGGGGTTTGCACGAGGCCACACCCCCTGCTCTCCCTTTCAGACGCGGCGGCGAGCCCCCCTCTGTGGTCTCGGACCCCGCCGTGGGAGTTCTCTGCCCGTTTTTCATGATTTTCAAACCCCACACACATTGGCTTGGGACAGCGGCCGTGGTTCCCAGGTCACAGCGACGGATTTTTTGGCATAAAAATGTTTTAAAAAAGTGACTGTCCCAGAATGTATGCGGGCTGGGTCTGCAATTCCTCACGCCGGTTCAGCCAGCCAGCCAGTGGCCAAGGTCGATGTCATGGAGTTCTTTTTCTTTTTTTTTTTGTCCCCTTTAAAACAACAAAGGATTAAAAAAAAAAAAACCACAACCAGAGATGACGGGCAAGGCTCTACACACGTGCTTCCGGTAAGACATGCTGCTATGGAAACGCGGGGTGCGCAGCCCCGGCGGTGAGATGCTGAGCATGCGAGGTCACGGCGCGCGGCAGCTACTCCATCGCGTCGTCGTCGGGCCACGGAGGGCGCATGCGTGCCTGCTGGCCGGGGCCCGGGGCCCCCCAACTGTCCCCCTGCGGGGGGCCGCCTTTCACAACAGCACTTCCTCCTCCCCCGGCGGCGGGGGCGGGGCGGGCCCGCGCAGGCCGTCTCCGCTGCCGCGCCTCCTGCTCGTGCAGAACAGAAAAGCCAGGTTAGGGGCCCTGAACCTGCGTCTCCGGGTTCCCACGCGGCCTGCCGGGCTGTTTACTTAACCTCTCCTTGCAGACTCCCTCCCCCTTGTCCCTTGCTTACATAAAATTTTGAAAGGGGACTTTGTATCCCCTCTGTACATGGAAAACCAGTGTCATTTGCCAAAAATAACAAGGAACTACAAAAACACCTGCGAACCTGTCTGCGCCACACCTAAGGTCACGGCGCCGATGGAGCGCTGTGCGTGCGGGCCCCGCGCTGCGGCCTGCTCGCCGAGGCTGTCGTTATCTCCACCCCCCCACCGCCACCCCCTTCCGGACCTGAGCTGTCCCGCGGCCGGAGCCGTGACAGGACTTGTCACCAGGTGAACTTCCTGGGGACAGCCCGCAGGACCGCTGGGGCACAGCCTGACACACTGCGGGCCTTCAGGGAACAGTTGTCAGCAGAAACCACGGCCCCAGCTCACAGGCCGGAGGGACCGGTCCAGCGGACAGAGGCGCCCCCCTCTGGGCGCTGGGAGCCAGTGGAGCAGACGCAGGTGGTGGGAGGAGCAGTGTCCTGGGTCCCTCGGGGTGGGGGGGCGGCCACGGCCCCTGGCACCCCAGCACGCGTTGCCTGGGGTGACAGACATGGCTGGGGGGACACAGACGTGCGGGGAAATCCCCGAGGAGCGGCCCACACCCTCCGCCACGGCCCCCACAGTCGCCCCGTCTAAGGGAAGCCGGTGGGCTTGTCGCACAGAACTGATGTCCACCGCGCACCCCTGGCCAGAAGGGGAGGCCCCTGCCCCAGGAGGGACAGCGTGGTGTCTGCGTTCCCAGAGAGAAAACCCTCTGTGTTTGAAAATCACTCCTTGGCCTTATTGTGTCTGCCACAGGAGAGGGGTCAAGTGCCCCCGGGGAGGAGCACTGTCGCCAGCGACCCAGACAGGCCCCGGGTCTCCGCCGCATGGGCTGGTCCCGCTGCAGGGGCTGGTGGGGCGTGGGCCCACCGCCTCCAGTGACTGACTGGGCTCTCAGGCTCTGCTGAGTGCTGGGCCATGTGGACAACCACAGCACCCCCGCCTGGGGGCCGGGGGCAGGCGCAGGTAACCCCCAGGTGTCGCTGGGACTGCAGATGAAGGAATAAGGGAGACAGTAAAGCCCTTTGGACCCATTTCAGTCTGTTGATGTCTCGTCAGGGGAAAAAGCAAAAGAATAAAAACAACAGGCTCACACAGAGCCAGGAGGCAAACCCTGAAACTGAGCTGGAGAAGAGAAAGGCCGGCCCAGCAGGCTTCTGCTCCCTGTCACCCCGTGGGGCTCAAACTACGGGCTGGGCCACCCTGTCGCCTGGCTGCGGAGACGGCCGGGAACGTCCAGCAGGGACTGAGACAGCCTTCTCGGGCTGGTGACCGCCGGCTGATGGCTAACGGCTGCTTTCCCTGCTCCGGAAAAGCAAGAAGAATCCGCAGACCAGCATGCCTCCTTTGTCACCACAGACACCGACTCCTGCGGTGGGAGCAGCCAATGCGTTTGGTCCAAGCCAGTTCCGATCAAACAGAAAAGGCCGGCGCCACCTGCTCCGCCGCAGATGAACCCTGGAAACGGGGGGCTGAGTGAGAAAGGCCAGGCACGAGAGGCCACACACTGTGGGGCTCCGTTTACAGGAGACGGTCCAGAACGGGCCGATCTTCGGCAGCGGAAAGCAGCTCAGTGGTCGCTGGGGGATGGCGGGAGTGGGTGGCTACACGGCTCCGTGACTGTATTAAAGAGCCATGGAATTACCTGCTCCGAACGGGGCAGGTGTGTGGTGTGAACTCTAGCTCACTGCAGCTGCGTGTAAATCTCCGAAGTGGCTGCCTGGAGCTCCCAGGTGAGGTTCAGGTGGTGGGTCAGGTTCAGCGGGAAGAAGACTGGGATGGCTACCCTGCCCCGGGTGCTGGGGGTTGCTGAGTGAGGGGCTGAAGGGATGCCATTTGTCATCTCAGTCTTACAGGGACAAAAATTCCCATCTGCCGGGGGAGGTGCAGGTAGCACTGACCTGGGTATACGCTATGTTTGGAAGAGGGATGGCCGATCGAGGGAGAAACCCAGCCCCACCCCACCCCCAAGGCAGAGGACTTGTACATTAATTTGCAGCCAGCTGCAAGGGGACTTATTGTCCAGGTCTCAACCCCTCGGAGAAGAGAGCGCAGGTGCCGGAGAGCCACGGATGCAGCATGCCTGACCTGCACTCCGACCATGCCGCCCCGGAGCCGGGGCCACCACGGGGCCCGTGACACGTGCCCAGCAGACGTGGGAGCCCGACCGGGCCGTCGGACCGGGGTGAATGCACAGGCGTTCCGGGTGCAGCGCCATGCACCCACAGCCCCAGCTCACATGCACGACCCATCCGCGGGTCCAAGCCCCTGGGTGCCCCTCCTCGGCAGCCCGGGGCCAGAGGCCCAAGGTGAGCCTGGTCGCGGCGGATGTGGCGGAAAGGAGCATCCGCCGGGCTGGGGACGCCCCGTGCGTGCGTGCGCGGCAGCTGCCCCCGCCCCCAAGGCCCCGGCGGAGGCCACTGCGCAGGCAGGCAGGCTTTACCTTGGGCTCAGACAGGGGCTCCCACTGCCTGGTTGGTTTTTTGCTGGAATCGCCAGAGGGGAGGGAAAAGGGAAGTGAGAAGGCACAGCTGGGGGGGGGGGGCCAAGGGGGGCCAAGGGGTGCCCCTCCCCCTCCCCAGAGACAGACCCCAGACGCCAGCTCGACACAGCTGTAGCCAGGGCGGTTGTGAGGACACCGCCCCGCTGTGCCGAGACGTGCAGGGTCCCCGGGCGAGACTGGCTGGCTCCTCCCGCACAGGGCCGAACCCCCCCCATCAAGCATGCCTGCTGCTGGACCCCAGCAAGGCCTGCTGGCTGTCAAGAGCCCCCCAGTTAAAGTGCCGGCCCCCTGAGGAAGGTCCCACTTCAGGCTGGACGCGCTGTCAGCCAGAGGAGGGGGGCTGGGCCCAGGGTGGGGCAAGTCCCGGGCCAGCAGCCGCTCTGACTTCCTCGGGGGCCCAGGTCTGGTGGGAGTCTTTCCCGATGGCACCTCTCCAGGCGTGGGGGGGTCCAGGCGAGGACACTGGACAGGGCTGCACTGCGTCCAGCCCCCCGCCCCACTCCCTGCCCCACAGGAAGGCAGGTGGACACTCACCTGAGCAGGTTCCCGGGCGCGGACAGCGAGCGCTCCTCCCGCCGGCTGCCCTCGAACGGGTTCCCGAAGGAGCGCTTCCGTATCATGGTCTTCACCAGGATCTGCAGGGGGGAGCGGGAGGGTCGGCCACCTGGAGGGGGAAGCTCCCGGCAACGTCCTCCCTCCGGCCGGCATCCTTCCTCATCCTCCCTCCCTCCCCCGGCGCCTCGCCCGCTCCCAGGGCCTGTGGCCGATGGCGGGCCTTGGGAGACACGAGGCAGAATCCGGGACAGAGCCGCCACAGCCACCACCAAATCGACTGGTCCACGCGGCACAACCTCCCACGCCCCCTGGCTGCCGACAGGAAAAGGGCCCAAGTCCTTGGTCCGACATTCAGGTCCGGTCGTCATCTCCAGTCTTGGGCCCACCCAACCCCTAGGGGGCGCTGTGCTCCGGGACAGCTGGCGCGCACAGCACCCCTGGTTCCAGGTCTCGGCGGAGCCACCAACCTGCCTCACCTTCAAGGCCGGGCCTCTGTGCTTGGCGAAAACCGCCCCTGACCACGCCAACAAACCAACTACCGTTTCCCAGGAATAATGGGGCGCAGGGGTGCTGCACGTGTTTTTAGCTGCACTATAATTCCCACAGCATAAAATTCACCATTCTCAAGTACACGATTCCCTGGTTTTAGCATTCGCAGTGTATCTAATTTCAGAGCATTTCCGTCACTCCAGAAGGAAGCCCTGACCCCCGCCCTCATCAGCAGAGACGTCCCTGTCCCCCGGCCCCCCGACCCCGGCGGGCACCAGTCTGCTCTCCGTCTCCGTGACTCTCTCTCCCCTGGACACCTCACGTAGGTGGAATCAGAGTGCGCAGCTTTGTCTGGCTTCTTCCCCTCAGCATGTTTTCGAGGTCCAGCTACATTGGATCAGTACTTCATTCCTGTCCACGGCTGAATAATACTCCTCTGCAGGGGTACAACCGCATTTTCTCTACCCCCTCCTCCACAGGTGCACCACGGCTTCTTCCCCCTTTCTGGTGGCTGTGAATAACGCTGTGAACATTTGCGTCCAAGTTTTTGCGTGGACACGTTTTTCCACACAAAATCTTTTCATTGCTCCGGGGCACATCCAGGAGTGAAATCCTGGGATCACACGGTAACGACGTTTAACATTTTGAGGAATGGCCAGACCGTTTTCTGCAGGGGCTGTAGTGTTTTCTGTTCCTGCCAGCATCACCCGAGGACACCGTCTTCTCAGGGGACTGCACCGTCATCGAGAATGAGACACCCCCGTCCAGGTGCAAGGAGCTCAGGGAACATGCCGCACTCTGGGGCCGGCCAGGCCAGTGTGAGGGCAGACACTCGGAGGCGCTGGGGGCTGGCCTGCCCACGGCCGCTGGTGGGTCCTCTTCGGCGCGCTCCCCACCCCGATCTGCTCTAACGGACTGAGTTGGGAAATGTGTGTCCGCGGAGAGGACCTTGGGGAGGAGGGAACACCCCTCCTCCGGCCCCCGGGGGGCCCAGCCTCACCCAGCCAGCCTGCCCCCATCTTTCCGACACCCAGCTCCGACTCCCTCACTCCCGACTCACAATCCCTCGCCCACAGGAGTTTGGAACCTGTCCTGTTGCCAGCCAGGGCGCCATGGGAGGCTGTGGAGGAAGGGAGTGAACCAGCCACCTTCTGGTGATGCTTTTGGCTACTGTGTCCCAGGAAGTTTTTCAAGGATGCGGCCCCACCCCCTCCCAGCAGAGCACGGTGCCTCTTCAAGCTGTTTCACGTATTGAGTTGATTTTTTAAGGGTTTGCTGCTGAGTGTTAAAAAAACAAACAAACAAAAAACACACAACACTGATTTACCAAAAGGTAGAAACACCTAAACAGGTGACCACATTTCAACTGAGGGACAGGTGAAATGTGGTCTCTCCACAGTGGGCTGTTACTCAACCATGAAAAGGAGTGACCTGCTACAATGCGGATGAACCTCAAAAACATCGCACTAAATGAAATCAACCAGACACACGATGACGTAATTCCCTTTATAGGAACTGTCCGGGATGGGGAGTCTGCAGACACCGGAAACAGACCGGTGGGCGGGGCGCCAGGCCGGAGAGGGCGGGGAGACTGCTAATGGGGTCGGGCCTTCCTCTAGGGTGACGGCGCGATCCAGAGCCACCGAGGTGAGTGGTGACGGCCAAGCAGCACTGTGCATGGGACAAACGCCACTACTGTGCTGTTCCCTTCAAAACGTGCCAGTCTATGTCCCATGAATTCTATCTCAATAAAAAAGAAAGAAAAAACCTGACTTAGAGAATGAACGCCATGCCCCTGGTGAGGGCCCTGCTCTGCAGCCCCTGGGGCACCCCGGCCCCTCAATCCCCTGGCCCTTTGCAGAGGTCATGGCCCCTGGCAAGACCACCGCCCCCACCCCGTGGCCTCCTCGAACCAGCCAACCCCTCCCGCCTGCCCCAAGAGCGCGAGGAAGGAGCCCCTCCTCTCTGAAGCCCCCCCCCCCCGCCCGCGCTGGCCTGTCACCGTGCCAAGCACACGAGGACCCATCTTTTTCGCGAGGTCGGGCGCTTCCCGAGGGCTGGGGCTGGACCTAGTTCATCTCTGCAACCCAGTGCCCGGCACAGGCTGGGGGCCAGGTGGGGGCCGGACTTCCTGCTCCAGCCCCGCCCCCACTGCCTCCCTCGCCCCCGCACTCGGTGCTCCACGTGGTGTCTTTCCACGGCCCACCCGGGGGGGTCGTGCCGCCCTGATTCAGACCCGACCCAGACCCTGCAGGTGCTGCCCCACCTCTCAGGGCACGGCCGCTTCTGCCGGCGGCAGACTCCCCAACCCATCCCCCAGGGCCACGTCCCCACGGAGGGTTACCCCGCACATTTGTTTGTTTATTGGTCGTGTGCTCAGCGTCTGCCCCTCCAGGGCGGTTCTACCACTGCGCCCTGCCCCCAGCACAGGCCTGAGAACCCACGAGCGTTGGAGCGCTTCCCGGACAACCAACGACGGGTTCAGACCTCTAGGGCCAGACAGACAGACGCCTCCTCCCGGGGACATCCCGCGCTGGGGCCCGACGCCAGCCGCCCGCCTGCCCCACGCTGAGCGCAGGATGTGGGCGCCGTGGGCGGAGGGCGGAGGCCGGGTGGGTGTGGGTCAGTTTCTGACAGTGAAGGTGGTGCAGAGGCTCCGAGTGGGGGAGGAGGAGGAAGGTGGGAGAGGTCGGAGGACCCGCCCAGGGCCTCGGGGCGCGGAGGAAGGAGAGAGAGAGAGAGAGGAAGCAGGAGGTGGGGGTGCGAAGCTGGGAGAGGAGGAGCCGGCACCGGCGCCCACGGGGGCAGTCGGTCACTTGGGGGGCCGTCCAGAGCCCAGGGCCCTGCCTCTCTGCGGGCCCGACGCAGCCTGGGGCTTTGGAGGCGGCCGTGGCGGGTGGGTGTCCAGCTGGGTTCTGCCCCAGGACCACTGCCTGGGCTCGGGCCCCAGCTGCGGGTCTGCGGCTCCCTCCTGGGGCCAGGCACCCTGGCCGCAGGGACTGGGCGAGTGGCTGAGGCGCTGAGGCCCCAGTGAGGTGTGTGAGGTGGGAGCCCTGCCCCTGGCCCTGGAGCCACTTGAGTGACAGATGTGAGCTGAGCTGAGCCTTGGAGGCTGGAGACCCACCCTGGCGGGACGCTGCCCCCCAGACCTCAGCTCCGGCTCCGTCCCTCGCCCCCTCCCGCTCCCCGACAGGCTCTGAAGGCAGGAATTCGGGAAGGGGCGGTAGGATCCGTGGAGGAGGGGGGCTGCCCCTCCCCACCGTCAGGTAGGGGGTGGCGGCAGACAGAGCTCAGGCTGGAAGGCCCAGGGGCGCCTGGCCGGGCGTGTGCCCGAGGCCCAGAGGCTGAGGCTGTCGGTGAGGGCACAGTCAGCCAGCCATCCCCCGGCCTTCAGGCCCAGCGTCCGCCTCTCAGGCGCCCCCGTGTCCCAGCCTGTCCTCGCGGGGCCCGTCCCTGGCGACTCTCTCTGTCCCTGCTCTAGGTCAGTGGTCCATGCCCCTTACCACGGTCGCCAGGCTGGGAATGTGTTTGACCGAATTCTCGACCTCCTCTTCGGTCACCTCGACCAGCGTGCAGTTCTCGTCCTCCGACGGCAGCGGCTCCGCCCCGTGCCTCGTGACCCAGGGGTGCAGCTTCAAGAACGACAGGAGGGGTGAGGGGTGGGCGCAGCTGGCCCCCAGAGGCAGGGCAGCGCGGCGGCGGCAGCGGTAGCCAGGGAAGGGGTGCAGGAGGGGACAGGCAGTGGCCGGAGGTCAGACGGGCAAGAGAGCCGAGAAGCCAGGCAGAGGGAGGGGGTGGAGCAAGGAGGGAGGGAAAGACAGGAGCCGGAGAACGGGAGGGGGCCATGAGGCCACGAGGCTGGGACGTACTCGGCCCAGACTCTCCATCTGGCCCCCGGTCTCGGCGGAAGTGACTGGAATCTGGCACGTGCACCTCACGGCTGCCCGAGGAGCAGCCATCGCTCTCCGGCAGCTCTCCCCGGTGCCCGGGAAGCCCAGCTCAGGCAGGCAGCATGCGCCCCACTTTACAGAAGGGCAGACAGAGGCTCGGGGAGGCACAGCGGCCAAGACCCGCCGGAAGGACACAGTCAGGAGAGGACCCGTGCCAGGGTCTGGCCCCCCACTCCCCGCCCCCAGGGTCCAAGCCCTCCTCTGTAACATTCTGGGCTTCCCCCTCTTCAAAGGCTAGTGGGCCAGGTGCCCAGGGGTTCCCAAAGCAAATCTCTGAGGTTTCTTAAAGGGCCAGGTATGTGCGTGTGCCACGGTTGCGGTGTACGGGTAAGCGGGGGTCTCTCCTAACAGTGCTTTCTGCCACAGGGTGGAATTCGGCAGGCCAGCGTGAGGCGCAGGGTCAAATTGCTCCCTGGCCCCCGCCCACCCTCACTGCCATCTTCACACGGATGGGCAGGGTCAAGGCAAGGGCCCAGGACTTGGGCAGCCAAGGCGTGGAGCACACGGGCCTCAGTCCAGTCCGAGGAGGGTGGAGCCACCAGCCCAAGCCAATCGGAGTGAGCGCGAGCTGCCCGCTGGCGGTGGGTTCCACTTCCACAGTCACATCAACGCAGGCCCCAGATCCTCCTCCCGCCCCCTCCCAGCCCCCAGCAACCCGGACGCCCCAGGACACGGCAGGGCAGCGGAACCAAGGAGGGCATGGCGCGACGGATGTGGGGCGCGGGGCCTGGCCGAGGCAGGGTTGAGCCAAACAATCCAAGCAGAGGACACAGGCCAAGCCAGTGGCACACGCCCGACAGGGCAGCGGTGGCCCCCAGGTACCTTGATCTCCGGCACCACGATCCTCGACTCGGGGTTCTTGTCCAGCATGCGGGTGATCAGGTCCTTCAGGTCCTCAGCTATGTCGGGCCTGGGGGAGACAGGCGCGTCGGAAGTTCGAAAGACAGACACCCAGGACCACTCAAGGCTCAGGGAAGGCGGTGACTCAGGGCGGCTGGGCAATACTCACTGCTCGGGAAACTCCAGGGCCTGGCTCTTGATCTTGCTGTGCAAACACATGATCCTCTCGTCCATGAACGGGCACTGCGAAGGGAGGTGAGCATGCCCGTGGGTGGCTGGCACCCCCATCCTGCAAAGGGCACCCTGTGCTGGGGCCACCCCACTTGGGTCACAGCCCAGAAACAAACAGTCCAGGGGCCTGATCTAGGGAGGGAGCAGTTTCCATATCCCCCACAACCAAGTCCTAGAAGGATCGGGGGTAAAAAAGCAAACACTCTTCTTCACCCACCTACTGTGTGGACAATAATAATTCCAAGAAAACTTCACCACAGTAACGGCAGTGAAGGCTTACTCTGGGCTGGGCCTTGTATTGGCTGTTCTCTCTGCCTGGAAAGTTCTCCCCACCAACACCTGCCTGGCTTGTTTTCTCCCCTCATCCAGGTGACTCATGAAAGCGCACCTCAGGGAGGACCACCCAAGCTCCTGCCTGAAACAGACACGCCCCGCCCACTGCCCCCACCTCAAGCCTTCTCATCATAGCACCTGCCCCTGGCCTATCCTGACGTTGCTACATTTGTGTTTAACTCACCACTATGTTACATATGTATTTATTTACTAGCTCACCACTTGAGCCTTCATAACGTATTTATTACCTCCTGCATTAAGTTACATCCGTATTTGTTTATTAACTCCTCCACTATGTTACATCCGTATTTGTTTATTACCTCCAGCAGCTCTGAGAGGGGTGGGATGTTTGTCTGTCTTGCTCACTGCTGACTCCTCACTGCCCAGGGTCATCCCCAGCACAAAGCAGGGGCTCAGTAGCTACTTATTGCAGGGGTGTCAGACTCATTGTCACCGGGGGCCACATCAGCCTCAAGGCTGCCTCCAAAGGGCCGAAGGTAATTTTAGGACTGTGTACACGAAACTACTCCTTAGCAGTTAAGCGAGAACTCAGTGCTGCCGCCTGGTAGAAACCAGGTGCCGGCCCAGATAAAACACGGTGGAGGGCTGGATTCGGCCTGCGGGCCTTGTGTTTGCCACCTGCGACTTATTGAATTAATGAGGGCTTGCGTGATTTCTGTTGATCCTCTCCATAGCCGTAAGAAATAACCAGTACTCTTCCCATTTTACAGACGAGAAAAACAGAAACTCAGGTGACACGTTCTGAGAAGAACAAAGCTGGCATTGCAGCCCAGCCTAGGCTGACTCTGCAGCCGTGCATGCCCCGCCCCCTGGGAGACAAATCAGCGCCCACAGAGGAGGGCCTGACCCAGCAGAGGGCCTGACCCAGAGGAGCCTAGGTGTTACGCTGGAAAAAAGAACCTTTCTTTATGTGAGTGCTTAAAAGGTTGGAAAAAGTCTCAGAAAGTGACCTGCTCCACTCCTGTCCAAGGAAAGTGATTTCATTAAGAGCAGTAATTATCCAGGTGTATCCACTTGACAGAACTCATTAAAGAATGCACTTAAGATCTGTACATTTCACTACATGTCAATTTTATAGAGAGAGAGAGAGAGAGAAGGAGAAAGAGAGAACCTCCAACAAATAGTAAGCTCCAGCTAGCAATCACACTCTGACCCACTGGGAGGGTAGAGATGGTAGAGATGTTGGTAACTTACTCTAAAATAAAAAAAATTTTTTTAAAAGGCAGACTGAGGACAGACATGGGATAAAGCGAGATTCTTTATAGCAGAACCCAGGGGGCGGCTGTGTGGGTGTTTACAGTACAATTCCTTCAACTTTGCTATGTGACTGAAAAGTTTCTGATCCAATGTTGGGGGGGGGATTACCAACTCCTTCAGGTCCTCACAGACCCCGTTTCTGAAGCTTTCCTCAGGAGGAACACAAGCCTTTGCAAAGGGAAAATCCATGCTTTGATTGTTCACGTAACCAATCAGAACGTCAGAGTTAAAAATGTAAGCCCCTAAATATCAGTAATATAAAAAAGGCCCCCCTCCAAAAGAAAAAGACAAAACAGTACTCCCTAAATCAAAAATGCCAAATGGATTTTAACTTCCATTCCACTTCTGTCCCTCCAACACATGGCTTCCTGGAACAGTATGTTCAGAAGAGCATCAAAGTAGGATCAGCCTCAGGAGGCAAATGCAGGTGTTGATTAGTGATGTCTGTCTCGGGTGTGGGACGGGACAGGGTGGCGCATCTGCTGTGCTGGCCCTGCGTCTACCGACTGTCTACAGCCTCTCCGGGCCTCTGCCCATCCTTCCACAGATCTCCCTTTCACAGGTAGGACAGGCACCTCTGAGAAGGCCATCCTTTTCCCTATGCAGCTCTAACTGGGGAAATAAAGTGATACAACTTGTAAATGCATACATACTGTCTCCCTGCAAAGGAAACTACCAATCCTAGGGGCCACCCAGCCACGCTCAGGAGGCGGGACACCCCCACTCTGTTACCTGGCCGAACACGAAGCAGTACAGCGTCACACCCATGGCCCACACATCCAAGGCCTGCAAGGGAAAAAAGGAGCATTGTGTGAGCGGACATGGTGGCGGATGAACAGCGTCTGCCGCTTCTGCCCGTCCAGCATCGACTCCTCCCACTTCCCTTTGGGGAGCCACTTCTGGTCTCCGAGTCTGGGGAGCCCAAGTTGGGTTGAGCCTGCTCCCAGCCTCTGGGCGGGCACAGGACCCCAGCACTTCCCCAAGCCACAGTCATTGGTTCAAGGAGGAGCACATGACCCACCCTGGGCCAATCAGAGCCAACCCCGCAATTTTCGCTGGAGCTCTGCAGGAAGCCGAACAATCTTTCTGCTGAGGTCCGTAAACCGATAGAAAGGGGCCTGGGGCCGCTGGGGACCAACCCACCTGGGGATGAAACCAATTCAGGAAAGCAGACCTGAGGGATGGAGAGACGGACTCCTGTTTGAATCTCCATACCTAACCAAACCCAAAGCCACGTTGACCTCGCTCATCCACATTACATAATGGCCTCCACTGCTGAGCTGGGTTTTTGCCACTTGCAAGCGGAAGGACCCGGATCGCAGGCAGAACTCAGCATCTCGGGCGGGCCCAGACCTACCTTCCCGGAAAAGATCTTCCGGGTCTCGGAGAGCGACTCGGGCGCCATGAAGGCGGGCGTGCCCACGGTGTTGGACAGGAGCGCGTCGCTGCCCTTGAACTCATTGCTCACGCCGAAGTCGGCGATCTTGATGTGCCCGTCTTCTCCCACCAGGAGGTTGGACGGTTTGATGTCCCGGTGGATGATCTTCTGGTAGTGCACTGGGGGCGCCGGAAGGGGGCGGTGTGGGGCGGGGCAGGAACACCACGTGAGCACTCCCTGCGGCCCCCCCAGCCCAGACGCGCGGACGTGGACGCCCGTGTTCTCCCACAGCCCCTGCTGAACACCTACCCCCCCAAGACCTGCTGGACTACACGCCCACAGCTCAGGAAGATGAGGGGGAAGAGGGTGTTGAAGGACATTCCCCAGCCTCGAAAGCGAGGAGCAAACCCCCAGCGGCCAGGAGCAAAATCAGGAGCCGCCTGGGACTGTCTCGGCCGCCAGTGACAGCGCAGAGCGGGTTTTCGTGGAGCCAGAAGCCTCAAGACTTGAGACAAACGGTGTTCGTTTGCTAATGCCGACACTCAGCCAGCGCACCGGACCCGCAACGGCTGGAGTAGGTCAAGTGGAAGTGTGACCAGGAAGCAGGGCTGGGGACGTGGCCAGCTGCCCCTGCATTTCCTCAGTGGTGGTGGTGGTGATGGAGGAGGAGGCGACCATACGGGTAATAGGACCAGCAGCTCCCTGTGTTGAGTGCCCAGCCTGGGTCCTAGCCCTGTGTGAATTCCTTCCCATGGGCCCCCATTTAAATTTTGCAACAACCCTGATGTGACAGGCAAGGGTAAGAGTGAAGATGTTGAACCACCAGAAGCAGAAACATCGCCGGCCGATCAGAACCACGGGTGTGCCCTGACTGAGTTTGGCCCAGGGGAGAGACACTCTGTTCCCATTTCACTGATGCGGAGACTAAGGTTCCAGGAGATAAACGGGACCCCTGTCCCGGGGTGGTTGTGAGTCAGGGACAACGGCAGCAGAGCCCCTGGCAGGGCCTCGGTCACTCTCGCCATTGCTCCTAATTGTCCCGTGTGGCAGGGATAAGGGGTTCTGTGGCCAGGGGCATGGCCACGGGTGGGGGTCTGCAGCGGCTTGTGACTCTGCACCTCAGACAACTGAGTTTCCCCCTCACCTCCTCGAGCTCGAGGAGGAAAATGAGAAACTCCCCGCTTCCCCGCCACCCCACTGCTGGGAATGCCAAGCACCCCTGGGCGACACTCCTCCCACAGGCCGCGCTTACAGTACTCGATGCCTTTGATCAGATCCTGGAAGTAGAAACGGGCCTGGTCTTCGGAGAGCGGTTTGAGGGTGGGCACCTCCATCACCGGCCTGAAAGGTCCACACACGCGTGAGAAGCGAGACAGACACCCGGCCTGCGCCGCCTCCTCCTCTCGCCGCCGAGCCCAGCACCGCAGCCCAAGAAGCGTTGGGCGTCCCACCCGCTGGGGTCGGGGCACTCACCCTTGGTTGACCAGTTCGAACACTGCGGGGAAGAGAAGGGGTAAATTGTTACAATGGAAATTGGAAACCAGCCTTCCTCCCTATCTTTCCCTCCTCCCAACTGCCCCTAAAAACACCAAGAAGCAAGGAGAGAGCCTGGCTGGTGTAGCTCAGTGGATTGAGCGCGGGCTGCGAACCAAAGCATCGCAGGTTTGATTCCCAGTCAGGGCACATGCCTGGGTTGCAGGCCACGGCCCCCAGCAACCACACATTGATGTTTCTCTCTCTTTCTCCCTCCCTTCTCTAAAAATCTTAAAAAAAAAAAAAAAAGAAGGAGAGAGACTGGACTTGGGGGGCCCAGAGATGGGGGGGCCCTTCCCTGGCTTCAAGGTCATCAACAGCCTTAGGCAGAACAGAGGTAGGGCTGAGGTGCCGTGGCTTCAGACCTCGGTGGCTAAAAGCAAAGGCAGTGTGCTGAAACTAGGGCCACAGACAGGCTGACGCTAAGGCCAAAGACAGGAGCGCAGTCCCTCCGTGCCGGCCTCTCCTGCCTTGGTTATGTAAGTCGCAACTTTCTAAAGCTGCTTCGTGAATTCCCGCACCTCCTCCCACCCACCCAAGCGCCATAAACCCGCCGGCATGGGGGAGGCTGGCCCGCTGAAACAGGTCTATTTTCAGTTGCTCACAGCTTAACCGCGCTCGGGGCTGGGCGGCGGGTGGGAGGTTTCTAACCTCCGGAAATATCGATCGTGTCCTCCACCCACTGGGGGCCAGGCCTGCAGCTGCGGGACCCTCGCTGGGGCCTGCCACAGGCCTTGAGGACTCCCCTGGAGAGCGCCCCCAGACCGCCGGAGTCAAATACCAAAAGTCAGCGTGGCTCCGTGTCACCCCGGCACCTCGGGAAGTGAAAACCACCCTCGAGACTGCCCGGTCCACACGAAACTCCTCTTGGGAGCGTGGGTCGTGGTTCTTTTATACTCATTGGACTTTTCTGCTCAGACCATCCAATGGCGCCCTTCTTGCCCAGAGTAAAAGGCAAGGTTTGGCAAGGGTGTACGATGTCCTCTGCCATCTGGTCCCCACTGCCCTGCACAAATGCCACTCTGCTGCCCAGTCCCCCAGCCTGGACTCCTGGCTCCCCAGCCCTGCTCAGGTTCGCTGGTCTCCAAGGTGCCGCCACCTCCGGAGCCTACCCATAATGCTTCGGGGCTGAGTGGGTCTGACCGCCCCCCCTAGAGCCACGAGGTATCATCCTGAGAGCAGGCAGTTCTGAGTGTTGTTCCTGGAGGACCTGGGACAGGGTCTGACAAATGGAAATGTTTGTTGAATGAACAACCAACCTCCTCAGGAACAGCCCGAAGCCATGTGGAGTCAGGCCCGGGGCTCCACGTGAGGGAATGAGGCTGGGGGGTATCATTCGGGACCAAAAAAGTACCTTCTACATTTTGTGATTTCTGCTGAATTGCCTCTAATTTCACTCATTTGCCTATCGTGTTTAGAATCTAGCCATATCTATATATCACGTAAACTGCTATATTTTTAGGACTATAAGATGCACCGGACTATAAGATGCACCGGACCATAAGACACACTTAGGTTTTAGAGGAAAATAGGGGAAAAATTTCTGAAGCAAAAAATGTGGTAAAATATTTAATAACCTGTGACCCTGCTCCCCTGCTCCCCCTGCCAAGTGAGGCAGGCCAGCTACACTCGGACTATAAGATGCACCCCTCCTTCCCTCCAAAATTTGGGGTGGGGGGTGCGTCTTATAGTCCAAAAATGCGGTATAGATTTTTTTTTTTTTCTTTAAATCGACCCAGCTTTAAAATTTTTAGCCTTATCCTAGGTAACAACCATCCATGAAATCATGAGTTTAGTGTGCTGGCTAGAGTTTTTCCTATACAATGACAAATTGAATCTGAAAGTTTTCTGAATCTGTCCATGCGCCAGATCAAATCATCCCATATGCTTAAAGTGGGGATGGTACCACGTCTGGAGAAACACTGCGATTCTGTGAGGTTCACGTTTTTGTGGTTCTTTCTTCCACAAATGTTTTTAAATCATTTTTTAAAATTCTCACCTGAGGACATCTTTTCATTGCTTTTTAGAGGGAGAGGAAGGGACAGAAACGTCAGTGTGACAGAGAAGCATCAGTTGCTTGCTTTGTACACGCTGGGACCAGGGATCATGGGCACATAAACCGGGGACTGAACCCGCCACCTAGGTACGTGACCTGACGGGGAATCGAACCCGCAATCTTTCGGTTACAGTTGCAGGACGATGCTCCCACCAACCGAGCCACGCCAGCCAGGGCTCTCGCTTTCACGGCATCCTGTGGGGTCACTGTGGGGCCCCGCTGAACTGGGAGAGGGGCTGCTGTCCTTGGCGAGAGAGGTCAGGGGCAGGGCTGCCTCTAGCGGACACCTGGGCCTTGGCAGGCACAGCTGCCCGAGCAGGGGTGGCAGAAGGCAAGGGCTGGAGTCTTACCCATGTACAGATGGTCCTCGTTGGGGTCGTCCAGGACCTGTTGGCACGGCCACACGGAACAGGCCGGAAACAGGAGCGGGGGGCGGGGGGGTGGAGAGAAAAGGTATGAGCGGCGAGGAAGCGGCCTCCGCGTGACCGCATTTGCCAACAGGAAGGCTGTGTGGCCCGCCCCCACCCCCCCTCCCGGTCAAGGTGAAGGGCACAGCGACAGACGCAGCGTGTGATCCGAAGGACCATCTGGGAAGTGAGCACCGTCTAGCGCAACCCTCGACCAGCCCAACCCTCGACCGTCCGAAACTCCCGGAAAGGAGATTACGAACAGGAGGAGGCAGATTCCTCCCTGGGAAACATCTCAGCTTCAGTGAAAAGGACACAGCTGGATGGGTCCTCAGGGTGCACATCCAAATCCTGACCCCTTCTCCCCGACCCCAGCGGGACAGGAGGCCTCCCTGCCCGGCAGGGCCATGGCCCTCTCTGTCTCCTGCCCTCACGGCCTTCGCTGCCACCTCCTCGTTATTTCTACCAGATCTCTCCTTCCCCCCAAAGGGCGGGCACCAGGCTGCGGACACACCGCGGCTGCCTCCACGGGGCCCCGAACAGGGCGAGGCACAGAGCAGGTGCTCAGGGAACACCTGATGAACGGATGGTGTGGGTGCACGGGGAAGCCGCGGGCCTCGGGGCAGCGGGAAGAGGGGAGGCTCCTTGGGCTCCCTCTACCGTGCCTGCTCAAGATCCTGCGGCCTCTCTTCTTCCAGAAGAAACAATGGCAGGTTCCTTGACTAGACCGGTCCCCCTTCCTCTTCCCACGTGACACTCCCCTACCCCAGCCACCCCAGATCCACAGGGGAGAGCCCCGGGCAAGGGGTAACCTCTAGGCAGAGGCCCGGGGCGGCCCAGCTGGAGCCCGAAGCCCTGCACTGCGGGGGAGAAGCACACCCGGCGTCTGGCCCACCTGGAGTGCCGTCCCCCACGGGCCCCAGGCGGCGTGGCCGCTGACTCTCACGCCGGCCCAAGGCCAGGACGCACCCCTCCCAACAGAGGCCTCTGGCCCTTTGCACATGCTGTTCCTCCCCCTGCGTTACCCTTGGTAACCGGGCCGCCTCAAACATCACCGCCCCTGAGAGGCCTCCCCGAGGCGCCGGCTGCACCTACTCGCACTTCCGCCGCACCGTGCACACACGTGTGGTCGGCAAAGCGCCTCTCACACACCGTTTACGAGTCCTCGTCACCTGGACCGGAGGTGCCCTAAAATGTGGACGCCCAGGGACTTCGGGGCGTCCCCAAGATGCTTCCAGGGGGTCCATGAGGTCAAACAGTTTTTACTCCAAAACGAAGACAGTGTTTGCCTTTTTCATTCTCAGTCTGGACTGGTGCAGCGGGCTCGTGCAGGAGCCGCGTGGCACGCGACATCACGACAGGCCTCGAGCGGGAGCACGTGTGAGAGTCCGGCCGTCGTCTCGGAGGCCGGCACTCACGGCAACAAAACCCGGAAAAATGTACAACTACACCACGCTTCCCGCTACACATTTTTTTGTTCAGAAAACACAGTTATTTTTCATAAAAGTGTATCACTTACAATAATAGGAAGTAGGATTGCTGTGGTAAGTGAACTAATACATAATTTTTAGATCCCTCAGTTTTAAATTCCCCTGTGGCAAGTATTAGTAATATAACCCACGTGAGCAAGAGCTTGTGGGGATCTTCAGGAGCTTTTAAGGGCGTCAACGAGGCCTGACACCACAGCGGGGGAACTGCTGGCCCAGAGCGACTGGCCAGCTACAGACCCAACGGGGCCCTCCCTCCGCCGGCTCTGTGAACAAGGTCCTCTCGCGACCCCGCCTCGCCCACGTGTCTAGAGGTGTGTGGCTGCTGTGGTGCCACACACACACACACACACACACACACACACACGCAGCAGAAGGAAGAGAACCAACTCCAAAGTGACAGCAGGGAGCCAAGGGCCAGCCTCAGCACCCATCTGAGCCTCTCGGTTTCTCTATCTGTGCAGTGCGGGAGAGAGCGGGGGCTGGGGGGACAGGGGTGACATCCAATCCCAGGGGCAAGGAGCCTGAGTCCGTTACTGCTACTCGGCCCAGCAGTGAGCCACTGGGCGTGACGTGGCTCTCCGGGGGAAGCACCAGCGTGGCCCCCGGGGGAAGCACCAGCGTGGCCCCCGGGGGAAAACCAGAGCCAGGCGCTCCGCCGCGTCCCCCCACCGGCCTCACCTCCACCAGCTTCACCACATTGGGGTGGTCCAGCTTCTTGAGGATGGCGATCTCCTGGTACACCTGCTCGATGGGGCCCCGGGGCTGGATGCAGCCACCCGGGGCTGGCCGGGTGCCTCGGGGCGGGGGGCGACCTGGAGGAGACAACGGACCATCTCAGGGTCACGGCGAAGAGGGCTGCAGCACCCGATGCCGCCGGGGGTGTGGCACAGCCCTCTCCTCATCCGCCGCCTCTCCTGCTGCTGCCCGACTAGGGGTGGGGCTGGAAGCATGAGCCCCTGGCTCGGCCTTCGGTCAGTCCTCCTTCCCATTCAGCAAACCCCCGCCACTGCCCTGGCCACCGGGAGGGTCAGCCCAGTGAGGTCGGGGGGAAACCGGGGGTCTGCCTGGGCAGCACAACAAAAGACTGTGACAGACAGGTTCACAGACCAGTGTCAAGGGCCGGGGACTGGACCGGCTGGACTTCAGGACGCCCCCAAACTCGCAGCGCTTCCAAACTCAGCTCCCGCCAAAAGCTAATTTGCTAACCGGTCAGAGCAACTTGGATTTTTATCTGTGATTTCTACTTTTACAAACTTGTTTTAAAATAAAATACTTTAAAAAAAGAGAGAGAGAGACCATGCCAAAAAGAAAAGCAACCTTTTCACTGCTCGGCCCTGCAGGGACTGACGGTCAAAAGGTCCCGGTGATGGAAAGGCCCGAGGTTAAGCCTCACTGGGTCGCACGCCCCGAGTAAGCAGGGGCCTGAGTGCGGTCCACAGCACCGAGAGTGGGCGAGACCGGCCTTGGAGGAGGAGAAGCAGCAGCACGGTGCAGGGGTGCGCAGCGGGAGGCGAGGGGGACTTCAGAGGGAAAGGGAAGGAGGGTACTAGCCGCCTCCTCTGACAAAGGGAGCACAGACTGGGGGACACTGGCTGCACCGCCCCGCAAGGAGGGAGGAGGCGAGTGCGGCAGAGAGCCGGACCGAGCAGCGCGGTGCCCTGTCCCCGCCCAGTGCCCTGCCCCCGCCCGGCCAGCAGGCCGGCCGGGAAAGGCAGGCGAGCAGTGGGGCGCGCGCTCCAGATCCTCATCTGTCTGCAAAGGAAGTCAGAGGCAGATGTGCTGATACAAAAATCGATGCGTGAAGAAACAGTGGCACAAGGCACATCATCTGGCTCGGAGTTCAGGTGAGCGGGATGAACCGGGGTCCTGGGGAGAGGACGCGGCTCCTGTTTTTTCTTACCCACCCCCCCTTCAGGCCCCGCGGACACTCTGCCCAGCCAGGCTGATGGGAGCCTCCGTTGCCTGGGCCTCTAGTCCGCTCCCCCGCAGGGCCGCGCGGGCCAGGCGACGCCACTGCCGCCCCGAGATGGCAGGCGGGGGCCGCCGGAGGGAGGGGCAGGGGGACAGCCAGAGCCTGTCGTTCTCCGTGAGAAGCTGTTCTGTTCTTAGTTTTGTTTTGTTTTGTTTTTTTGGAGATACAGTTCAAATACTCACGGTATTTAAATGTTTGAACATGTGCCGTTTCAAAATCTATCATTCAGTGGTTTTTAGTGCGTTCACGAGGTTACGCCAACATCCCCACCATGGCGCCCTGAACATTTTCATGCCCCCCCAACCCCACACCTATTAGCAGCCTTCCCCCACGCTGCACACCCCCCACCCCTGGAAACCCCCCATCTGCTTTCTCCACGGGGTTTTCTGTTCTGGACTTTTCATCCAAAGAGAATCCCGCAACGCGGGACCTCTCCATGACTGGCCTCCGCCACTCAGCATCCCGTTTGTGAGGTGCATCTACATGTAGCAGGAGTCAGCACGCCGTGCCTTATATGGCTGAGCTGTCTTGCACTTGGACGGACCAGCTCCTGTTGATGCATCCGTCTGCGGACAGGCCTTTGGGCTGTTTCCGCTCTGGGGCCCTTACGAAAGTGCCGCCTCTGCGGACACGAACGCGCAAGCTTCCGCGTGGACCTGTGTTTTCCTTTCTTTCAGGTGCGCCCCGAGCAGCAGAACCGCTGGGTCACACAGCAACTTCCTGAGGAGCTGCCGAACTGTTTTCCTCTAACGGATTGTTTGACGTACCCCCTATATCACATTAGTAAATATGTGTTAATGAAAATGAGTTAAAAAAAGCCCTCCGTTGGGGGGCCCAGGGCTGTCTCCCGGGCACCGACCCAGGGCACGCTGCAGGGCACACGGTTCAGTGGGACCTGCTCCGCCTCGCCCCAGCCCCTGCACCCCAGAGCAGGGCCCGCCGGGCCCACCAGACTCACGTGGAAAGCCCGCCTGTCGGATCAGCTTCTTTTTGGACAGCACCTTCATCGCCTGTGGGAGAAAAGGCCCCACGTCCCGATTAAAGCACGGAGGAGGGAGGAGCGGGGAGGGGGCGCTCCCTCCACTCCTAGGCCCTTGGCTCCCTGGCTGTTCGGGGACAGTGTGGTGAGTGCGCTGCCGCCAGAGGACATGGGACAGCAGCAGGCTGCATGGAGGTTGGACCCCCCCACGCCTCAAGGGGCTCCAGGGCTGCTTCCCCAGCTGGGGGGGGGTGGGGGGCACAAGCCTCGGACTCAGTGTCACTGAATCCAGACACAAGCGAGCTGGAGCGAGGGACACCGGACGGGTGTGGCCGGCTGCGTCACACGCGGGAAAACTGAGGCTCAGTAGTGACGTCACTTGCCCAAGGTCGGGCCACTGGCGCATGGGAGAGGCAGGATTTGAAACCACGCTGCACTGATTCCAGAGCCTCGGCTCCAAGGGCCACTGGGCTCACTACCTCCTGGTGCTCGGTGCTACGGAGGCTGCAGGAACGGCAGCCCGATGAGCACGCGAGACGTCTGCTGAAGTCCCTCCCTCGCTCCTCCTTCCCCGGCCGTTGCTTCGCCTCCCCGTGTCCCCACCTGGGACGCGGGGACGGCACGTCCCTCCTGGCACACCGCGTGGACACGAGCCCACGGTAAAATGGGGCGACAGCTCAGAAACCCTCCCGGGGGGCTGAGTGCAGCTGGGGACAGGCCCGGGGGCGGGCGGCGGGGCATGCATACTCACATAGTAGGTATTGTCATTTTCATTGTAGGCCAACTTGACCACACCGTAGGAGCCCTGGGTGCAGGGAGATGATGGTGACATACAGCCAGAAGTTAGCGTCTGCACAGTGAGGACCCTGATACTGGTGACAGCCTGGCAGCCCACTGAACGAGTCTTCCCTAGAGCTTTATTTTGAGGGGGCTGTAGTTTCTAGAACGTTTGCATTAGTCGCCAACATTTAAAAACGGACAGATCGGATATAAAAGTCCAGGTTCCCAGCCTTGGGAAATCAGGTGCTCTGACTATTGGAGCCATAATCACGTCTGTACGTTGATTTGCCATAGACACTACTCTCTGCTCTCCGACCTAGCATGCTTCAGGCACGGAGCCCTCATTCCCTTGTTAACAGTTGGCCACAGTCCTCACCACTCCCTACCGTCATACCCAGCATGCTCTGCTCATTTATATTTGCATTTGCTCTCTATTGGCATGTGAGTTTTTTACATTTTTATTAATTGATTTTAGAGAGAGAGAAGAAAGGGCAGAGAAAGACAGGGAGAGAGGGAAGGATGGAGAGAGGGGGAGAAGGAGAGAGCTAGAGAGAGAGAGAGACATTAATTTTATTGTTCACTTTTTTATGCATTCATTCATTAGTTAATTCTTGCAATGTGCCCTGGCTGGGAATCGAACCGGCAACTATGGTATACTAGGATGATGCTCTAAGCAACTGAGCTATCCAGACAAGGCCTGGCATGTGAGTGTTGGACCCCTGTAATGATACTGCCCATTGGCTGAAACAAGCAAAACACAGATGTGAGAGTAACTTAGGGGAGGAAAAAACCAACACGAATAAGGGGTGCTGTGACTGTCGCCATAGTGATACGGGATTTCCCTGAACGCTGTCTGTGCTTCTGCAGAAGCACATTCATATTATGATATAAAAACAAAACACATGGACCACTAATCACAAAACCCTGCCCTGTCCTTGCCTCCAAGGCCTCCTCTCCCACCCCCAGCTCTAGCAGGCGCCCCCCAGTACCCGAGATGCCCCGGCTCCGAGGGCACTCACCTTTCCAATTTCATCCTTCAGGGTGTACTGGTTCAGCTGCACACAGTCCTGGGGAGAAGCGGAAACACCCAGGACGGGAACGGTAAGGCTGCAGCCAGATACATTTGTCTCAAACAAGACAAACCCTTGAAATCAGGACCCAGAGCCAGAAAGAGGGCACTGCCCACTCCCCAGAAGCATCCCCAGTCACTGCTCCCTCTGCGGGGCGACCAGGGTCCTGACTCCTAACAGCAGCTTTTATTCGTTGCACAAAAGTAATCAAACGGTATGTAACCAAAAGTAATCAAACGGTTACTCTCCTAACACCCACTTGTTAAAGCTTGTTTCGTTTATACCAGTTTCACTTCAAATGAAACAAATAATCCATGACCGTGTTGTCTCGGAAAAAGGCAAAGTAGTACAAGAAGCAACCGTGGGACCAAGGTTTCTCAGCTGATACATGACAAGTACAAAACGTACAAAACATAAAAGGGAACAAATCACGAACTGGACTTCGCCAAAATGGAAACGCTCCTTCTCCTAGACACTATCAAGGAAATGAAAGCCACACACTGAGAGAAACTCTGTGCAACACACGTACACTCTCAGACAGAGGACTGGGGTCCGGAACACACAGAGAACTTTTCCGACTCATGAATAAGACAACAACCCAATTTTTTGTTAAAGGAACAAAAGATTTGGAAAGACATTTCTCCAAAGAAGATACAAATGATCAAGAAGCACATGAAAAGACACTCAACGTCATTAACCACGGACAAATATAAATGAAAACCACTCCCAACAGGTTAGTTAAAATCAAGAAGACCAGCCAAAGAATTTAGGGCACAAAGAACCTTGACACACGTTGCTTGTAGGAACTGAAAATGGTGCGGCCTCTTTGAAAAACAGCTCGGCAATTTCTTAACATGCACCCCGACAACCCAGCTGCTCCACTCCTGGGCGTTTATTTACGCACGAGAACTGAAAACTCGTGTCCGGGCAAAGACTTGGGTACAAATGTCCTTAACGGCTTTATTTGTAAAAGTCAAAACCTGGGAACAACCCAAAAAGTCCATCAACAGGTAAATGGATGAACAAGCTGGGGCACATCAGAACAATGGAGTTTGTTAAACGATTTTATTTAGTTATTTTTAGAGAGAGAGGGGAAGAGAAGAAGAGAGGGAAACACCAGTGGTTTTTTCCTCTGTGGCTGCCTCTCGCACGCCCCCTGCTGGGGGCTTGGCCCACAACCTGGGCATGTGCCCTGACTGGGAATCCAAAGGCCACCCTTTGGTTCACAGGCCAGCATTCAATCCACTGAGCCACACCAGCCAGGGCTGGAATTTGTGTGTGTGTGTGTGTGTGTGTGTGTATTTTTTAAAGATTTTATTTATTTTTAGAGGGAAGGGAGAGAGAGAGAGAGAAACATCAATGTGCCGTTGCTGGGGACCGTGGCCTGCAACCCAGGCACGTGCCCTGACTGGGAATCGAACCTGTGACACTTTGGTTCGCAGCCCGCGCTCAATCTACTGAGCTACACCAGCCAGGGCAGAATTTTTGTTTTAATCCTCACCCGATTATTGACTTTAGAGGGAGGGAGAGAAACACTGATGCAAGAGACAAATGTCAACCCGTGGCTTCCCATAGGTGCCCTGGCTGAGAATCAAACCCGCAGCCTTTTGGTGTAAAGGACGACGCTCCATTGGAGCCTCGCCAGCCAGGGCTAATTTTTTTTTTTAAACAATGGAACTCTCTACACTTAGCAACAAAGAGGAAGGAACCACTGGTGTCACAGGAGCTAAGCTATAAAAGAGTCATACTCGATGACTCCACCTATAGAAAGGCCTAGAACATATAAACGAATCTGTAATGATTCAAATCAGGAAGCCGGTGATGTGGGGAAGGGGGCGGAGGAGGGATGCGTTGCTGGGTGTGCTGGGAAAGTCTGGGATCTTGACCAGGGGGGCGACGGTTTTGCAGATCTACAACTACACCACACCTGAGCCTACCATACCCTTGAAATGTGTGCACTTGACTGTACTTTAAGCACACCTCAGTACAGCTGGGTGGACGGTCAGACGGTACGAGAAGAACACCTGGGAAAAGAAACACGGTAGAAAACGGAACTCCGTGTGCTACACGTACACCCAGCATGTCCCTTGAATGTTCACCTCCACAAGTGTCACCCCCCCACCCCACCCCCAATACTAATGTCAGCCTGGTGTATAAGGTCCCAGGCCTTTCTCTAGTAAAGGTGCACATACACGGGGTGGGGCGGGGGAGGAGTGAGTGGTGCCACACTAAACCATGTCTCAACTTCCTCTCCCTGCAGAGAACTGCGCGTCACAGCACACGTGACCTGCAGCCCCGCTGCACCCCACGGCTCACAGAGCCCTCCCCTCGCTGGAAGACGTTTCCGGTTGTTTGCAGTGTTTCTCTCCGGCGTTACTTTCGCTCTGAGTCCTGGAGGGATGAGACGGGCAGGGCAGGTGCTATCCTAACAGGTCCCACCACTTCCTAACCCAGCCCTCACATGCTGCTGAATCCAGCTTCCAAAGGTCTCCTCTGTCCACGCAAGTCCTAGCTCACGGCAGCTCCCGGGGTCAGGTCCTGACTCCGCCGCCTGGCCTCGTTGCCCACCAAATACCAGTCTTCCCGTTCTTCCTTATAAATGGAAGTCAGGGGTAGCAACAGCCTGAGCTGGCCCATGTCATATCCCAGCCTCTCTTTATAGCCGGCAGTGTTCTTGTGGCTGCGTTCTGGCTTGTGGGAAGGAGGCAGGGTTGTTGGTGGTGACCTCTGTGAAAGCCCCACACTGTAGCTCACTGAACCCCCAACCACCCTTCCCCCCACCTCATGCCTTCCACCTCTGGGCTTTTTTTTTTTAAAGATTTTATTTATTTATTTACTTACTTACTTACTTACTTATTTATAGAGAGAGGGGAAAAGAGGGAGAAAGAGAGAGAGTAACATCCATGTGTGGTTGCCTCTCGTGTACCCCCTATGGGGGGGCTGGCCCCCAACCCAGGCATGTGCCCTGACTGGGAATCAAACTGGCAACGCTTTGGTTTGCAAGCCAGCGCTCAATCCACCGAGCCACACCAGCCAGAGCCACCACCTCTGGGCCTCTGCACGTGCTCTACCCTCCCCCTGCAGTGACCCTTCCCGTGTGTGCCCACCTCTAACTGTGGAAATTCTGCCTGGCCCTCAACATGCAGTTCAGTATCAGCCCCTTTAAAAAGCCATTCCTGACTTCCGAGCTTCTCCCCATTAAAAATGCATTCATTCCTTCAACAAATATTGTCGGGCTCCCACTACATGCCAGGCCCTGCGCAAGGCGCAGGGGACACAGAGGCGACCTGGCCCACGCCCCGCGGAGCTGACACCCTAGCTGGGGGGCGGCAGGCTCTAAGCAACCAACCAAACACACAATACAACCAGAGGGCAGTGAGCGCCGTGAGGCAACGTCCACAGGGCCACAGCACAGAGGGCCTGGGGGCTGACAGCTGCTTAGGGAGGGAGTCCGAGAGGCCGCACGAAGGAGGTGACCTTTAGGCTGAGAGTCGGACGTCGGAAGGACATAACCTTGCAAAGATGGCAGAGCTTCTAAGCAGAGAGGAGAGCAAAGATATACGCCGGCGTATCTGAAGGATCTCAGGAAGTGCAAATGGACGGAGGTCTGCGAATCAGGAGACGATGCAGGCGAAAGGGGCGGGCAGACCAGCCAGCGCCCTGTGAACTGGGGTTTGCACGGGCGGGTGGGCGGGGCCTGAGTTCTGACCCACCTCCCGGAAGTTGGCCGTAGGGCCTGAGTCAGAAACGCGCGCAGAGGGCGCTGAGCGCAGAGCCTGCTGCGAACACCCAGCAAAGGGTCCACGCCGCAAGGCCCTGAGGCCTCTCTGCGACCTGCCGCCCACATTTCCGGGCCGCAACACAATTTCCAACCACCAGCACGTGATCTCTTCGCCGGAGGCTCTCTCCGGCCCCCAGCGGCTCTGCCCACACTCGGGGCAGGTCGCCCACCCACAGCAGCCCTCACTGACGAAAGTGTGGAGTTGGTGTGAAAGGCCCGGCTCCCCGCCCTCGCGTGGGGCAACTCCGAGACTGTGTCCTCCGTGTCTCCCTGCTCCCCAGACAGATGGAGTCCCCGTGCCCAGTGGTCGCCAGCGCCCTGACACATCCTTTGTTGATTTCCCTTCCCTTCCCTCTCCGCCCTCCCCGTCTGGGTTTCCTGGGGTCACGTCCCAAACCAGCTGGTGGCTCCGGGAATGTTCTGGGGGAGCCTATCTACCGGGGAGACCCGGGCTCCCGCTCACGCACCTGCATACCAGTGATGGAGACGTGGTGCGACTCCACCGTGGGCCGCCGGGGCAGCCGCGGCGAGGACTGCGGGGAGCCGACCGGCGAGGAGGGCTGGGCTGGCTGGACGCAGCGGCCGTTCACGTCCAGCTGAGACCGCTCCTGCAGCGACAGCTTGCAACTGGAGAGGGGGGGCCGGACCTGGGACCCTGCGTCAAGGGGGACTTCTCCTCCATCGGCGTCCAGGTGCGCGTCCCGGTCCAGGCCCTGGTCCGCGGCGCAGCCCGGATCACACTCGGTGACCACGATGAAGGACTCCATGCCCAGGCGGATGCTCAGGGACGAGAGGCCCCGCAGCGCCTCGCAGGGCTTCTGGCCTTGGCTACTGCTGCTGCTGCCGCCCACGCCGCACAGGTCATTCTGGGGGGCGGCCCGGTCGCTGCTGGGCTGGCTAGAGACGCATGATGACATGGTGCGTGCGCGGACCTCATGTGACGCGGCCTCGCCGGGGCACTCCCATCCACCGCGGTGCCACCTGCAGAGGGAGGAACGGTCAGAGGCCCCGCCCGCTGCCGGGGCCTCATCCTCCCCCCTCCCCCCGGGGTTGACGTCCGTCCCCAAAAATCTGGCAAAACCTGACTTCTGAGCCTACACAGAAACACATGCTCCACATTTCCTTGTTTTAAAAGTCTCTTCTCACACATAGAGCGAGAAACCAAAACTCAATTCCAAAAGGAACTAAGTATGAGCGAATCCCAAAACAACGAGCATGCACGTCCGCTACAGAGGGGGCAGCCATTCCCAGCTCAAGCCGACCCTTGCTAAGGGGGATCTGGGCCGCTACTGCCTGGTCCTCCCCCAACCCCACCCTTTTTTTTTTTAATCGAAAGAAGCCCTAAACCCAGAATGTTAGATGGGATCTCAAGATTACTTTTTAACTAGCCATTATCTCAAATATTTCTGAATGCTGGGCAGGCCCAAAGGACACTCCCGCCTGGTGACCTCTGGCTACATCACTTCACCATGGCAACGATTGGGGAGGGGCACTTTCCAGTTGACAAAACATCTTCACATCAGCATAATCTCCCCAGAGCCCCAAGTTGTTGGTTTGCCATGAGAGCCCCAGGGTGTAAATGGGGAAACTGAGGCTTGAGGCATCTGTCCAAGGTCTCCCAGGGCAAAGCCCAGGTGCACAGCAGTGGGGTCTCCTCAGCCAATGATCCTCAGCTGGGAGGTGGGGTCAGGGGTCGCATCAGACCAGAGACAGGCACCCGGGCAGCGTGAGCCGGGCTGGGCTGTGTTATCTGGGGAGCCAGGCTTGGAAGATCGACTGACTGCCCAGTGTTTTCCTCATTGGGCTGGTGCCCGCCAGAGACACAGCAAACAAACACATTGAATCCTACACCCAAAAAGGGTAAGTGTTGTGTGGTGTACGTTTTTACCGAAAGTAAGAAAATAATAGTAAAATTATAATGAAAATCTTTTTTTTCCCTCCAAACTATCAGGTGGGCAAAGACAAGAAATGTAATAACAACACTATTTTGGTGTGATTCCAGGGAGTATGAATGGGTGCCAACCATCCTTACAAAGGGAAATTCACCCAAAATTTGGCAAAATCCCAAATGCACATGCCTTTGACTTAGCAATTCCGCATCCTGAGTGTTCATCCTACAGACATCCTTGCACATGTAAACAGTAACGCATATAACAAGATGCCCTGGTCAGTGTGGCTGAATTTGTTGGGCATCATCCTACAAACCTAAAGGTCGCCGGTTCGATTCCCGGTCAGGGCATATGCCCGGGTTGTGGGTTCAGCCCCCAGTCGGGGTGCATACAAGAGGCACCCACCTGGTGTTTCTCTCCCTCTCTTTCTCCCTCCCTTTCCCTCTCTCTAAAAATAAAGACTCATAATCTTCCTTTATATTATAGGAAGAATTATAAAGGAATATAATCTTTCAAAAAACATTGCACGTACAAGGTTATTTCCGTAGCGTGGTTTGAAAGGACCGCCCATAGGGGACTGGGTGAAGAAAACGAGGTAAGGAAAATGCCGGAGAAAACCATGTATTTATTTTAAAAGAGGCAACTCTACATTCTGACATGAATTAGCTGCAAGACACACTGTTACATGGAAAACAACCCGAGCGTCAGCCTGCTGCTGCCGCCGGCCTGGGGGAAAGGCCGCACGCGTGCGCAGAGCAGCGTGAGCGCAGCGTACTTCCGGAAAGGCACACCAGAAAACGGTTAGGGCGGCCTCAAGAGAAAGCTCCTGGCTCGCAGAGCCGGGGAATCTAGGTGGGAGGGACTGACTTTGCACTGTATTTACCTTTACTGTGAAAGTGAACCTTCACCCCGGCTGGTGTGGTTCAGTGGATTGAGTGCCGCCCTGCGAATTGAAAGGCTGCCAGTTCGATTCCTGGTCAGGGCACGTGCCTGGGTTGCAGGCTGGGTCCCCAGAGGCCGTGTGAAAGGCAACCTTCTTAAAAGAAAGAAGACAACTGGAGCCATGATAGGACTTAGGGTGACGAGGCCCAGCGAGCTAGTTGGGGGGCGGGGGCGGGGGGGAGCAGCTGGCCGTCCCCTGTTCCCCTGTTCCCCTGTCCGTCCTTGTGGCTGAGAAAGACGCGCTAACTGTGCTCCTGGCCTGGCTTCCCCGTCAGAGAGAGAACACCACCCAAGTTCGACATGCCCTGTGGCTCCGGCTGCTGTCACTTTACATGTCCCTTTTATGGTCCAGGTGTCCCAGGAGGGGGAAAGAAAGCAGGGCCCCTGAAGTTCGCCTGCTTGGACTCGCCCTGGGCAAGCGGCTTGGCTCCCTGGGCCTCGGTGTTCTTCACTGCGAAATGGGCGCACGCCCAACAGGCACAGGGCTACTGAATGAACCACACGGGTGAGCGTTCAGAAAGCTCCTCTTCCCACAAGCGCCTACAAAATGCCCACTCCCTGCCAGGCTGTGTTCTAGAACATTCCTAGGAGGTTCTGATGTCCAAGAGAGCCGGCCCGCTCCTGGGCAGCTGCCAGGGCCCCAGCTGCATAGGCTTGCCCACCCCACGGCAGGGTGGCGGCCTCGTGGCCGACCTCCCTCCCAGAGCCACCCGACCAGGCTGCCGACCAGGCTGCCGAGTTCCTGAAAAGAAAAGGCGCCTGGCAGCACCTGGGAAGTTAATGGAGGGTTTTTTTCCTCACCAACAGAAAAACCATTGCTTATTGATCTCCCTTCCAGGCCAAGGACACCAAGCCATCCGCTCCCAGCAACGCCGCTTTTAATCAGTCTCCTTGGCACGCTGGCGCCCGGCCTGGCCTTGGCTCTTGCGGTCCGGAGGAGGGAGGCGCCGCGCTGCACGGGCAGGTGTACCCTGGTCTCGGCAGAGGGAGTTCAGACCTCAGGGCCTCAAGGCCACTTGGAGGCCACTGGTCTGCAAAGAAGCCTGGCAGGCAAGGGCCTGGCCACTCCGCCTGACCATAAGATCTTGTGCGGCCACCGGCCCTGGAAGGGACACAGGCTCTGTAAGGATCCAATGAAACCTATCAACTCTCCACAAGAGGGGAAAGTTGTACAGACAACAGTTCGCATCAATAACAGCAACAGCTGACACCCAGCTGGGCGCTCATCACGCACCGAGCACGGCTGACTGCGCGGCCAGGGTCCTCTAACCCACACAGCCCCCACCAGGAAGGCCTCCCCCAGCGCCCTTGGCCGCAGGCCCGAGCTCCCTCCCCTCTCACAGGGCAGCGCAACTGAGTGACCAGACCAGACCAGACCCTTCCTGGAGCAGATGGCCCCGGGCTCGGGGCCAGGATGGAGGGAAGCGCTCCTTCCTCTGCCGGAAGCCAAGTGGCACAGGCCTGTCGGAAACACAAACACACGTTCCTGTTTCCTGGGGGCCAGTTCCAACCTGCGCTTCTCACCAAAGGCAGAGGCCAGCGAACAACAAAGGAGCCCCAAATACCTGTGGGGATCCTGCCAAGTCCAGGAGGCAACGGGCTCCCTGGGACACCAGGCATGGCCAGCACAACCTCTCATGTGGGGAAACTGAGGCCCAGGGAGGCCCTGAAGGAAAGTCACTTACCAATGTGTTCTTTCAACAAGTAATGATTGAGGACCTACTATGCACTGGATACACAAATCAGACATGCTTTTTTAAAAGCAGGCACACAAATGACTCTTGTAAACACACAATGGAGGAAAAAAAACTGGAAATCTGAGAACACGGGGACACATTTCAGGTCTGAATGGGAGGAGGGGGTCAAGGAGGGTGTCGCATGGGGAAATTATATTTAGGCTGAGAACCTCCAAGGTGAGTAGGTGCTGAGGGGGCAGGAACATGGTCCAGGGGAAGAAACAGGTTGCAGGTTCGATCCCAGGTCAGGGCACATACAATACGCAACCTATGAGTGCATAAGTAAGTGAAACAACGAAGTGATGTTTCTCTCTAAAAAATCAATACATTTTTAAATTTTTTTTAAACTATCTGAATATGATGCCAACATTTCAGAGCCAAGAGAGCTCAGATAAAAATAAAATCTCAGAGCCTGCTGAAGAAAGCGGCAGCGCTCTGACGGCTCTGGGCCCACACCATCTCCCGGACCACCTCACTGCAGCCGTGGCCGGCACACCTGCCCTCACCAGGTCCCCCCGCCGCCCCCCAGCGAGGGCAGGCTAAGCACAAGGACAAGCTGAGCACCATGTCCCACGCCCCCCGCCCCCGCCACCTGTTGTGACCTATCCCCACCCCCACCGGCCCTGCCCTGGGATGCACTAGGCATCACCGGTCCCCACTCCCGCCATTTCGTCACCCCCGTGAGAAGGAGGAGGCGCAGCAGGTTGAACCATTTGCCCGAAGTCACGCAGTGGTTCCGGGCAGAGCTAACACTGGTCTGAGATTTTCAGGAAGGGACTGAGAATGACTGTCATGTCCACATGTCATGTCTGGAATGAAGTCCAGGGTGGGCCGGAATCTCTAACAAAGGGGAGCACACAGCCCAGTCTTCTGCCTTCCTGAGGCCACGACCTGGGCGAGAGGGGGCCAAGCCAAGGCACCGTGACTCCCGGTGCTCAGGAAGAGGTGCACGGCGTTTGGGCACAGACACAGGGCTGTGACTTCACTTAGAGGGGCCGTGGCTTTGCCTTTCCTCTTTACTGCTGAACTCCAGGATTCAGAACTTTCTACAATACTATTGGCATTCAATAAATGTTGGCCAGAGGTCACTGTTTGCTTCCTCCGTCCCAAGGCCACTCAGAAAATCAGCTTTCCTTAGCTGGCCTGGACTCCACGCTCCTCTGGTCTGATAACAGTTGCCTGATTTACGAATTCCCGCCGCATGGAACGTGGCTCCGTGGGCCTGTCTGCACCACCCACTCAGGGGTTTCCACGTGACTCAGGCCGGGTCACCTGGGCATCCAACTGCTCAGGGGAAGTGATTGATTCAAGAGTAGCTGTGTGACCCACGTCAGTCTACCAAGTCTTATTTTACAACTTCTGCATTAATATTAAGAAAAAAGAATGTCCCTTTCTGTGGAACTTAGAGCCATGAGGACATACTCTAGAGTTATCAGGGGCTGGGGAGAACTCTGCCTCAGAATGAAGCTGACAGAGAGGGAAGAGAGCGAAGGACGCAGAACTGAGATTGGTGATGTTGTGTGGGCACCTGGGTCCAGCCATGCCTACAGCCCATATATCCCAGGAGTGTTTAACTACATGAGTCGATAAATTCCCATTTTTGCTTAAGTTTGTCTACCATTGGTTTTCTGTCACAACCAAGCCTCCTGACTGACAGGAGCCACGGGGTAGATCGACAGAAAAGCTTCTTCACTAAGCTCCCTGCCAGATGATCAGTCGGCTCCCTGCACCTTACAGCTCCCAGCTGGGCCAAGCCCCAGGCAGCCTTCACCTTGGCCGAATGGCGGAACCCAGAAGTTCCAAAGGCAGTCAGTCTGTCTGTCTCTTGCAATCTTAAAGAAAAAAAATCAGGGATAGGGAAGGATCACTGAATAGGACGGAGGACAGGAAAGAAAACAGCACTTTTTCCCATTTTTTTATCTTTTGATTTTACAGCCCGGGGTGTCACACTCATCTTCATGGGGGGGCCACATCAGCCTCGTGGTTGCCTTCAAAGGGCCGAATGTCATTCTAGGACTGTACAAATGCAACTCCTCCTTAACTAGGGGCAAGGAGCTCGGCGCTGCCGCGGGATAGAAACAAGGTGCCGGCGGATAAAACAAGGTGGCACCGGATTTGGCCGTCGGGCCTTGTGTTTGCACCTGTGCTCCAGAGAGAGCGAGGGAGAGAAAGGAAAAGAAACACAGATGTGTTGGTCCACTTACTGATGCACCCTCACTGGTTGCCTCTCGTGTGCGCCCCGACTGGGAACCAACCTTGAGATGCAGCCCCGGCACTTCCGGGACTAACTGGAACTTCCGGCCAGAGAATCGCGGAAGCGGAAGCGGCGGCCTGGTAGCTGCGGCTGCAGGAGCAGCGACCGCCAGCCCCCGTCGGTGCGTGCCCAGCACCAGGCGCGATCCTGAGCGCGCCGTCATCGCAGCTTTGTGGGTCAGGTGCTGCTACCGTGTTTATTCCACTGGTGAGGAAACCGAGGCGCAGCGAGTCTGAGCGACGTGCCCGCCATCGCACGGTGCCTCTGGGAGAGCACAGGTGTGAAACGAAAGGCTCCCAGAGAGATAGAACCTGGTGATCAGGCGCACGTCCCCTCTCTCCTTAGCCAGGGCCGTCACCTTGGGGACCTACCGCGCAGGCCCCCGCACCCAGCAAACACTCCCCAAATGGAAGCGGTTGCCTAGAAAGCTCTTCAGCAGCTATTACGTTCAAGCCCCTCAACTGGTTTCGATTTATATTAAAAACGTTGTATCGCTAGCCCCACCGTCCCAACTCCGCTCCTTCCGTCTTCCCTCCAACTGTTGTCCACACGCATCGCTTTTTCACGAAGTCAAAGAGTAACGTGATGACGTCATCTCGCACCCTGGCTCGCTTGTGCCGGAAGCCCCTGCCTGCTCTCCCAGCCTGCAAGATCAGCACACCGGGGCTGCAGGTGCGGTCGTGAGGCCCAGGGACGTGGGCGACCTCCCCAAGGTGGCAGCGTGGTTCCAGGCTAGGCCGGACGAGGACCTGGTGCCCCGACCCCTGCAGCCCACGCTCCTGGCAGCCCTGGATGCTTACGGAGCAACCAGCTCAGTGGTGTTAAGAGTTGCCAGGCGGCTACTGCTCAGTCAACGATGAAGCCCCGTGAGGAGGGACCCCCATCACGCAGCCGTGTACCTAGAGACAGGTGCGCACCTGCGGCCTTGAAGATGGAGGAAGCGTGACTGCGGGGATGGGGGGAATTTGGAAGGGGAGGTGGGAACAACCTTATTTCCTTCCTCTTCATCCA